ACCTACTGAAATGGTGTCACTTTATCGGTATGTACCCTCGCCTTCAAATGACCAGAAATTGTGCAATTGCAGAAATTGACGTGGCATTGGCACACGTGGCTAAATTCTCGATGAAAAGGTGACATCACGTGTGCTCAAAGATGTTCTTGAATCGATGCCACGTTAATGCCACGTCAATTTCTGCAATTGCACAATTTCTGGTCATTTGAAGGCGAGGGTAGGTACCCTTGGTGCCCGGCTGCAAGGTGCGTGCTCACTGCAGATTTCATACCACAAGTAACAAAATCTCCATAAAATGCAACAGTTTTCTGTCAACGGTATGACTAACTTGTGGTTGTGACAACAACCTGCAGCAGGCGTCAACCGCCCGTTGTGCCGATTTTAAGAATATTCACGACCCTTTGTAAAGGGCTGTGGACCACTTCAGCTTCCTAGGGATCCCAAATGACCCCTTAAACACCTGCTCCCCACCTCCCTCCCCCCAGCGCCACCTTCACAACCATTACCGTTTCCTTAGTATTTAATTCTGACAGCGGTCGAAAACTCCATCTATGCCCGCATTACCCTCCAAAATGACCGTAGAATGTGGAAGTAAGAGAGGTATATGTCGAAGGAATCGAAAAATGTTCAAGTTTTTTCTCTATTCTGCATTTATTTCAAGTTTTTTTTTGCTAAAATCTTCGAAAACTCCGTCAGAAACAACCCTTCTCCCCTCCACTCAACAGCATCATCTACACATCCACCATCACTACTCCTTCGGATTCTCAGATACCCTCCCCCCATTATCACCATCACCACAAAGAGCAAAACCAGAGTCCGACAATCCACACAACTCCCAGATACGGTCCCCCCTCCCTTCCACCCCTTCCTCGTTAAACTTGGTAGAACGGACGGTTGACTCTGCCTACAACCTCTTTTCAAGCACCTTGCGGTCGCGCCCAAAGGCGAGGGAATTGAAGCGAGAAGGTACTGTCAACAAGCAGGGATCGAGCTGTCGGTTTACTACCTCATATTTATGGTGCAGTATCCTCTTCTAAATAACCATCCACTTTGTGCATTCGTATCCAGTTCACGCGGAGTTGATCTAGCGGATGGAAAAGACGAAGTGGGAGGCGTGTAGCGTACGCAGGAAGAGTCAAATGCTGGCGGGCCGCCGTGGGGCAGCTCTGATTAAATGCTGGGCGGCGCGTGGAGCAGGGCTCAAATGGAAAATCAAATCTCTCTGCCATGATCTTAGACAAATTTATATGTTTGATTAGCTTTCGTGACGACTGATGAATTTATTATCGAAGTTATTTCTCTTCTATCTTTCATGTCTTCTACAGATTTCATTTCTTAGTTCCTTTTCTTCCATTCCAAATGTTTTTTATTGTTCGGCAACACATGACGATCAGCAAATATTCTTATATGTGCACAGGAAATCACATATTTCGCTTCCTTTATTTTACATGTTTCTTGTTGTTTGCTACTGTGTGATTCTATCAACTAATCGCTTAGGTTTTGCTTTTTTTGAAACCTTGCTGCACATTCTGCTTTATACGCTATCGTGCCTTCGATAGGTGAAAAAAGCAAAGTGCTTCAGCTTTCATTCGTTGATATTCAATAATCCATTTTGCTTCTTCTTTCTCTTCTCTCAATTGGCTTCATGTTTTTGTGCGAGTCCAGGTCAGTCGATTTTCGAAGTCTGATTGGGGGGCGGTCCGGGAAAGATCGTTGGCGCCACCCCGTCTTGATAGAGTGTGGGAAACTTCGTCAGATATCAGCGAGTGAAGCGGTGGGCAGCATTAATACGCGCAATTCGTCAAGTGCGGTGGCCGTCAGCATTCGAGTGAGCCGCCATCAGACTCGGAGTATTCGACGGTAAAACGGTTCTCTCCCTATCAGTAGTCGAAGCAATTTTTGAAGCAAGAAGTAAGCTTGTGATTTTGGCCTATTTATACCCCTCGGGCCGGAATGGTTCTGGCATATCTAGCATATTCACTTTCTATATGCTTAAACTTACTGGCAGAATATGACAAATAACAAGGAGTGTCACTGTCACGTCATTCTTTTGAGCTGGTATGTTCACATTAAACATTGATGCGGAACTCGCATTCGTTCTATTAACGGGCACTGGCCGAGCCTGTTTCATTGAGCAAAATGCTTTATTATATACCGGCCACTCACAAAATACTGAGTGGATTTTTGTGTCGGCTCTACCTCACTACCTTTTTCAGTTCTCTTAAAGAAGGCGGACTCAATGGGCGCGAACAGTGAGTCATCGTCACGAGATTCAGAGAACGTAGTTACGCACACGATGATCACTACGAGGAGCCCAATCTTCGGAGCCGGCGACCTCATCAATCTCCCCCTAGAACAGGTACATACTTGTTATTCTCAGGAATTTCCGCCAGATTTTCCTTAGAATTGTTCTGCTATTCATACTGCTTACAGCTTCTGATAGTAAAATAAACGGAAATGTCGGAGGTTCTGCTAAAGCGAGGACAGCCAAGTCTCGGTCGTCATCACGCACTCCAAAATTAGGTGTTGATTATACGAAAGAGGTTAGTTTGGAGTTCCGTGAAGCTTCTACATGTTGGTTGAGTTCTAGCAGATACTTTCGATTCGTAAAAATGGTCACTATATTTTAGCAGTCTGACCTAGTGGAACGGATCCGACATTGTAAGGACTACTACGAAATTCTGAACGTTCGTGCTCATCTTCTTCAATAAATTTGTTGTCACCATTCTTTTCATTTTTGTTTCAAATTCAGGTGTCAAAAACAGCATCTGACGCTGAAATAAAGAAAGAATATAGAAGAATGGCACTTCAGCCATCAGAAAATGTAGGGCCCGCGATACAGAGGCATTCAAAGGTAAGAATACATGATCTGTAAATGCATCTTCAGTTAATTTCTAACTGTTGCATTTTTGGATTTTGGTGGCATTCATATAATGATCGCAGAATTAATCTCTTTCTCAGCACTGGGCAACGCATATGCGGTATTGTCCAACGAAGAGAAACGAAAACAATACGATACGTATGGTACCTCTGATAACGGAAACAACGTAAGCAGAGGACCCAGAGGAGACTTCTTTGAGTACGACTACGCTCATGGGTGATGGTCAGTATTTTTCAGTTATGGAATTGATTTGGAACTTTCTCCTATTGGATATTCACAGTTTCCAGCAGCAGCTTCTTGCTAAAGTTATGAGTATTTTTATAGCTGATTTCTCGCCTGAGGAAATATTCAATATGTTCTTTGGCGGCGGATTCCCATCGGAATCGGTGAGGAGAGAGGACGACATTTCACCACACTTCTCATAGTCACAGCACGCGCAATCAAAATGAAGTTGGTCCTTGTCGATTTTTTTTACATTTCTAATTGTATTGCTTTTTTGGTTATTGCCTGTGATTTGGTTCAGAATCCTTACACTCCCTTGCTACAACTTCTTCGCTGATTGCAATCCTTGTCCTGGGCCTGCTTGCCCAGCTAATGGTTGGCGATCCAGCGTATTCTCTACATCATTCAAGGTAAATCTTTGTTTTATTTCTCGTGAAGAAATACTATTTCGATGTGCTTTGGAGTTCAAATAACTTCGGTTTTTCGTGTATTATCTCATAAATTGTATTAAATAAGGCAAATTGCAGCAAGTACCCAGTCAAAGGCTGCACGGAGCGGATTTGAGGGTGAACCCCAGCACACGACCTGTGCTTATTTCGGTGCGAAGTGATTTTTGAACAGCGTGATCGGGGGAGAATCCTTAGGCCGTTTTTAATATAAGTTTTTTTCTGTTTTCTTTGGATAGTTTGTCTTCGAAACGGTCGTGTTTGATGTATTTCAACTTGTAGTAATCATCATTGAAGTGTAGGCTCACACCTCAGGTCGATGTTGCAACTACACGTGCGAAATTAGGGGAATACTGCGTTGTTCACGTGACATTTAGTCGCTTTGGATTTTTTAGTTGGACTTTTTCTTATTTTTAAAAAATAGTTTTCTCCTTCGCGTTGATGGCTCATTATGCCGGGTTTGAACATTGTTCCATGGAACAGGTGGATAAGACTCTTCCGACGAGAGTAGAAAAAGGGATTTGCCTGATTGCGAGTAGAGCCGTAGTACAGTATTTCTGTGTTGGAAAGTCGAGAAACTATGCATCTTCCGGATGCAGTGGCCTAGGTTGTAACTGTGTTCCTTTTAGGTGCGAGTGGGAGTCGTATCCTATCTTCCTCAGGCACGTTGAAGGCGAAAGTATTTTTTCATATTCTATTTTTTCTCACGAACGTCTTACTTTCCGCACTGTTTGGTTTTACGGCATGTAACATTACAAATATGCAGGTCTCAGAGGAACTATTGTTGGCAGAGCAAAGAAAATTTGGAGGATTTTTGATCTCTACTAGTGGGACGATGATATGGACGCTCGGTGACAATCCTGGTTGTAGGATGATTTCAGCTCTTAGTCTTCATCAGATTTTCTAGGAACTCTGGCTGGTATTGAGTACAGACAACTGGTAATTGTGTTGTGAAAGTCGACTGCCACCCGCAGTCGTATAAGTTAAGCGGAAAATTTTTCGTATGCGGCGTTCGTTCTTTACGATGTCGAAAGATGCTGTGGTCGCAACCAAAGTGCTTTGCCTCATGTATGGTTGTAGATTCTGAATTCATTGATCATCACTGAGGACGCGGTCCCCATCGCGAATTTCGGAGGTGAACGAACTGATGACAGGGCCTCCCTCGTAAGCTGTCCTGTTGAAACCAGTGGACGACAGTTAGATTCGCAGCGCTATACATATGGTTTGGTTGCACGGACTTGTTCCTTGGATCAGGGATAAGGATAAAGCAATTTGCCGTCGATCAATCCTTTGTAGGATGCGGCATGCATTCTTTACTTGGTACATTCGTCAAGTGGACTGTTAATGCATTTTGGCATAAAATTACTTGCGAGGGCCGCGGTCGTAACAGTCAGTCTGGTTTTATCGCCAGAATATTGGTATATGTATCCGACTCTGCGGAATGAAAGGCTTGGTTGCCTGGCGACACCCGACCCAGGATTCAACTTCCGGACCACGTATGGTGGCGTCACTTGCCACTACACCACTTCCGCCCTGGATCCGTTCCTTGGATTATGGCTGCGTATTTGTTGGAAAACATTGCTGTCATTTCACACCTTTGGATGGTAACTCGCATTATGCTTTAGAATCATGTGGCGAAAAACCACGTGTGTTCAGCATCGGTCAAATGAATATCGATCTATTCGAATTTGTGCTTTATGACTTTTGCGTCGTCCTAATAACTCATTTCATAGCTTTTGACTCAAGCGTTCCATCACCACGGCTACTCTGGAAAAATGTACGGAAAGATTTTACGAAGAGCGATCCGATTATTCAGCCCTTGCTTGTAGCTGCTAAGCCTTGCTGATTTTTCGAGGGCGCATGCATACTCCGACCGTCTTGCCGTGTGATATATGTGTACAGGTTTGCCTGCGCCCGCTATCCGGATCCGAGGTTAGAAAAACCCCGGAATAGCAGCGTGGTGTCTCCTAGTAACCACCTCACTACTGAATGTGTTATACCTCCTTATACCCCTTAATCTCCGGGCGCATGAGTAGCACCATGTTCCCTTCCCTTTCTCCCCCCTTCCCCTTCCCTCTCCACCCTCCCCCCCTCATCCGGCTGCCACGGCAGCACCATGTAGAATGAGACTGAGTGTGCTCGATCGGTGTTTATATAGCCGCTGTGGGTTTATCATGATCATGACATCAACATCACGAAGTGTTGCCCTTCGTACTCCCTGGTTTTGTGAGCGGTCGGTCCGGACGGACAGAACGACACACACACACACCGACAAACCGACACACCAAAGTTCTGGTTTATATAATGAAGTGATATAGAGTAGATGTGTATCGATCGTGCCCCCTTGTGATCGCATGAACGCCATGTACCTACTCCATACACCGCCTAAACGATGCGAAAGGCAGTCGCAAAGTGTGACCGCACTTCTAGGGAACATATGTCATTTTGCGTGTGCATCTCCTTATTTACAAATCCAAGGTTTAAATCTTCTTTTTTTCAGATTGAGGCGCAAGTTGAGGACGAGTACATTCAGGGTTTGCGAATGAATTGTTACAAGGAGCAGAATCAACGTTAGTTTCATGATTATTTTTTGTTACGCTTTTTTCTCTATTTCTTTCCCTTTTATTTGAGTTTGTATTGCACCGGCTTATTCCGATCCTTCCATTATAATGCTGTTTAGGTGAAACTCTAATGTACCGTGCCCGATGGCAGCGTGACGAAGATTTGCTGCGACGGGCGAATCAAATGCCGATGCCTCATTGTGATCGTCTTAAAGAAATTTACAGTCACTAGAGCGTTTAAGTTCGAAAAAAGTGCACTGAGAGTTCCGGACAGTTTTCTAGCTCAATGCTTCTATTCTGTGCAGAGTCAAGCTCAGAAAATAAGTTCACCGTTTAACATATTTACTTCATCTATCCGACCCTGTCGGTGCCATCACGAGGTATTCTGAATTTGATGTGTATTCGACTGTTTGAAGCAGTTTTAAGTGGTTAGCGTGACTTGTGGCTTACCATTCGAACCCATTTAATAAGTATTTGTCTACGAACTTGAATTATCGAGCAGCGGCATATTTCCTGTCTTTTACAAGGTTTGCTTTTGAATAAGGGCTTTTTATGTTAATATTTCTTAGTGCTCACTTTCAAATTCGTTGGTCGGGATGTTGTTTGATGTACTTGGTATCTTATGGGGCCATCAGTGTCCATCATGTTAATATTGTCTTTGTTTTGCCTTTTTAGATCTTCATCATTTTCTTAGATTCAGCCTACTCATAGATACATGCTAGTCTTAACATCCTCCTTCACCATTTCTTTCGTCAGATTGTAGCTCAAAACCATACTATACAACTTTGCGCTATCGGCAATCAAACCTGTGATATATGCCAAAATTTAGCCCTATCCTCTGAACGTATACCGCTATTGCATCAAAGAGACGGTAATATTGTAATAAACATTCGAAGTTTGTTTCATTCTTTCTTTATCTTGTGTTGTATTTTCGAGAAGTATCGCTTAAGATAAGTGCATTGCATGGTTCTGCAATTGGCTCTGGGTAATTTTCAGATAGATCTACGTGCTTGTGGGTTCTTGCCTTATAATGCCAGACTGGTCAACAGTCACGGTATGTTTCATGTGGTTTAAGTGAAGTAGACTCAAATAGTGTAACTGTGCATTGATATAATTGTTAAGTGGATCGTTTTCCTAAACTGAAAGTTTGGCTTCTTCAAGCTTTTTGAACTTTTTTGAAATATCTCTTCGTTGGATGCATTCGCTAAATTTGGTTGCTCGAGGGAAAATCTACGGTCGTCGATAGCTAATTAAGTTAGGTACA